AGCGGAAGGCAATAACTCTTACTGTACAAAAAATGGTACGTTTACAATTGTTTCCGACGATTCTATTTCAATTTATTTGTCACTGACCAGCATGTCTGCAAGTGAGCCTAAGCAATATATTACTCCTGTGATCTCCCAAATGGGTATATCAAGCGAAAACGTGGTTGCCTTAGGCCAACATAAGTCAAGCAATGCATAAACGAAAGAAAAAACTAGCAGTTCTCGTAAAAACGTGTTAGCATACTCGAAATTTAGGCTCTTCGGTAACACCCATACACTATAAGCACGTAATATGGAAGCACATTTATTCGAAAACTTGACAAAACGATTATTTTCCAACGTAATATTACTTCTGCTGCCTTATTTACTCATTGATTTTTGCATGAACGGGCTTCCTCTACATGTAAAACTTAAGTTTACCTAGTACGCCATGCATAAACTGCGTAAAACTTAAGTTTACCTAGTACGCCCAATTTCCACTTTTTCGGAATTTTCTACTTTATTAAAAAAGCTGGTGTTTCTAGAAAACGTTATAATCCTTCATAAATCATAATATGCCCTATAGTGAAGAACGATCATAACTTTATTGCTGTAAGACTTTGGGGGCCACAGCTTGAGCTGCGTTTGAGTAAGAGGGAGTTACTTGTAAAAATCGTAGGATTGCATGAGTTTGGCAACCTACTGTAGTCTTAATTAAGGACCAGAGAGGGGGAAAATGGACTCCAACAATCACTTCATGTTGCCCCGTTTCACTTCTTGTTGGGAGGTGTCAAGACGCAAGGTGACACGGTCTTGCGACGGCGTGGGCAGCGTGGAGATGCACATCGTCGTTGTCTTGTCCCCGTAACACTTTTCGCCCTGACACCTCTCAACAAGCAGTAACCCGAAGTGCAGTCCACTGCGATCCGCGTTTACGTCCTAACAACATAACAGCCACATAGTTCAGCTAACCCTTACCGTGGGAGTAGCTAATTTCGTGCAGTTTAGCGCGAGGCCACTTTTAGAGGAGGCTACGATATTTCCGTTTCCATCTTTTGCTCCAAAACGCTCCCAGATGTGATAGGTTTACACGCGTCACACAGGCCAGAAGCATTCTCTAGTTTATTTCGAAGAAGGATTCTCCGGTGTTGGCGTCACTGGGGAATAAATCTTCCTTCAGCTCCATCTCCTTGGTATTTTATGTACAACTGATCCTCGGTTAACGAGTTTAATCCGATCCGGCACAAAGATTTCGTCATGTGAAACACCCACCCAGTGAAACGTAGCCCATACAAGTTCATTCCTTCACTGAATAACTGCAGACCACTGAGGCCCCACGTCCTGGGAGCAAGACTCAACGGCGGACACAGACACACGCACACACATACACATTGACAATTCGTTAACTGAGTGGAAGCTCGTCAATCTAAACAAAACGTCTGCGAGTTGCTTGCTCTTTGCCTGAAGCGCTCGTAGAGGGGTCTGCTCGTCTCCAAAGGCTCCACTGTATACACACATTGAGAATGCGTGTAGATACGTCTTTCATTTTTCTCGGTTAAGTTCCGGTTATGCAAGCTGAGCCCCTGCTGTCCGAAGTAAGCGCATGATCGCAATTAATGCATAAGAAACAAGAAAAACAGAGCCGTTACCTGGGGTTATCCTGCAACTGAATCCTCATCAACCAATTTGAGAGCTACAATAAAACTCGACATCCTTCCTGATATACGTTATCCAAAATCGATTTTTCAAATGTGCCATAGAACATTTCCTGGCTATACGCAACTTATGAATGCGATGTTTGAACTTTTCAGGGTTATTCAGGAGGTTTGGCAGATTTGCTTAATTTAGTTCACCAAATTGTGAAAAAAATGGCGGCGTTCGGCGGGATTTTAACCCACATAGCAGATATTTTATGAGAACTATTCAGGGGTTTGACATGGCAGTTTTCTATGCCAGTGTAAAATTCTGCCACTCGACCGCTCTCTCTTATCTTCACTAAGGACTGAATATACCATATACAAAGGCATACGTTTGGTACTTCTCGTGACAATTATTGGTGGGGATTTTTGCCGGAGCTTATTTAAAGGGTTGGCGTTTCTTGACGTTTGACCTCAAATCAACTGATTTCCCCGTTGAATCAACTGAAGGCCAAAGTTAACTAAATAAGGACGAAAGCAAACGAAACTCCCCACGACCTAGTGATGGTCGTTCGCTTCGTACAACAAGCAGCAATTATCACTCCATGCATCTGACCTCTGATCAACGCCCACAACCTAACCCAATTTCCGCCCCTCCCCCCTACACCCGCTCACTCCCAACACATGAACCTCTACACGACGAGCTCGCCATGCGGGCGGCGTCTAAACGATGAATTGTAATCAGACTACCCTTATTGACCCTGTACAGTTTTTAGTTCCCCTGCAAATGTTTTGGCCTAATGAAGATTTACTGAAGACATATTTTCGCAAAATTGACTTCTCAAAGAGAGCAGAAGTATTCATGAGTAGGAAACTTTGCTGATCACCGACATAAGGGACTGAAGACTTTGGGGTTGATATATCCAGAAAATCAACACTTTTAAAGACTTTCTAGTAAACTAAACATTCACAAAGCTTAGGAAGGCTTGATACACTGCAGGTTCTATTACCAGTGACTCGTGTCCCATGAGTTCCCACAAAAGGATATTCCCACCACTTTCAAACTAAATACGGAAACTAGTCTACGCTGCTTCCCTTTTAAGATTTAGTTTTGATGGGAATATGCTGAGGTAACTTAAATACATCTTGCTACATCAGATTTCCGGAGGGTTGGTATTATATAGGTCACATCTAAAGAGATCCATCCGCGAATCAACGGTTCAACCAGCCGTAATTCCACGTTTTCAGTGAGTAACTGCGGACCACCCACACAGCGCTTTTACGGGGGCGAAGTTTGGGCAACCAAGCGAAGACGAAAATCTTTGATTCGTCCTACTTTTAAGTCAGCTTAAGCTCTTTTGTTTCACCGGGTAATTGCGGTGAATCGTGAGCCACAAAACAATTCCTTGCTTGTGGTTAATTATTGGTCTGGGTTAGACGTCTGGGTTGTGGTTGTTGGTGCAGACGAGGCTGCAAATTTAAGCGACAGCTCTTTATTTTATTTGTAACAATGACTCAGATTTTTTTAAAACAAAATTTACTAAAAGTGTCCTGATATCCGGTAAGCAAAGCAAAGTTGTCGCCGAAAGTAAGTTCTCCCGGAAGCGAATAATAATGAGAAGGGATCGCTGCGATCGCTGAAGTAGTAATCTTATCCGCCCGGAGGTTCGCGTTCCCTCTTAAATGCGTCCTCGGAAGCAACCACAGGCAAAGGTGTTGAACTCAGAGGGGGGGTGGGTGCATTAGTTACAGGACACAGAGGCCATGCAACCGCGTGCCACCATGTTCAACAGCGCCTCCCTGCTTCGAAGATGGCTCTAATGCGCGCAATGAGTGTTTGCTCGGCCTCATTCGAGCCCCTAATTGCCACAATTTAATTTACTTTATTATTGAGGTGATAATAACTAAGTCCACACGGAGCTGCAGCCGTGCGGGCGTGTAGATATGACGACAGCCATGAGGCCGTGGTTCATTCAACAGGACCGGGCCAGACCTTACAATTCGAGAAAACGGACATTCTTGTGGAATGTGGCAACCGCGTGAGCCA